GCGCGTCGGCGAGGCGTCGGGCCTGGGGCGGGCTCCCGGGGCTGCGAAGGCGCCCGCCCCGCCTCCCTGCAGGGCGCTGCTTTCCGCGGTGCTGCGCCCTGCCTGCTTCCTCTCCTTTCTTTTGTCCCTCCTTCCAAATGCAGAAAGGCGAAATTGGGGTCTGGGTTCCATCTACTGTGAGGCGGGAAGGACACAGCAAGTCACTTTTGAGCCAAACCCAAGAGCGGGGAAGGCGCGGGGAGACGGCCGACGTGGAAGGGAGCTGGAGGGATTCTTGGGCGGGGGCTCACACTCAGGCCCGGACTCAGCAGCAGGCTCTGGGGAGCCCTGCGTTTTCTCGGTGCCCTCCCCGTGCGGGAACACTCGGCAGAGCACAGGTCTGCAGGTGGGGGTAGGCAACACCGAGCTCGTATGCAACGGCTGCCCCGTGAATTGCTGGGAATCCCCAAGGACACCTTGCAGGCTGAGGTGGCCTCTGCCCACTTTTTCCTGGCTTCCCCTTGGGGACAGACTGTAGAGAAGCAGGAGCCCAGAGGGGCGTCCCTGAGCCCAAGCCCGGCATAGGCTTCAAGAACAAACCCGCCGCCTGACTCCAGGTGAGGAGCGCGGTCCCAGTGGGCCGTGAGGGCGCAGCGTCACACATTAGTAATAGCTGTCCTGCGCAAAGATAGCTGCTATTCCTGTTGGCGTGAAGGGTAGAGAAGACCACCAAATGAGACAGTTTTCGTCACCGGGTTCTCCGGCACCTCGTGGGTCCTGCAGTTCGGGTTCTCCACAGTTCCAAGGCAGCCCTGGCGCCGTCCGGTGTCCTGTAATATTGACTTGTACCAAAGAAGAAAAGTGGGGCTGCTGGACAGCCTGCCTGCGTGAAGAGCGGCGCTCTGTGTATGTGAGGGAGGCACCTGGAGCAGCCCTGCTGTGTAGGGCGGAAACTGATTTCCTGTACATACTGAGCCATGCCCTTTGGCCCAGGCCCCTCACTCATGCTGTACCCGGCCGTGAACTCCGAACTCCCCCAGTTCCAGTGGCACATCTAGGGTTGGCTGTACAGGAGGGCAGGGGACATGTTCTCAGCCTACGTTATGCAGCATCAGCTTTTGCTTGAGGTTTCTTTCCTGTCTTTCCAAAGAAGCCATCTGTCTGTGCCCAGGGTCTCTTCTACAAGTGTTGTTTTTCTCTTTCCTTTATTATTTCGGTGGTGCTGGGGATTAAACGTGCTAGGCAAGTGTCTGCCAGTGAGCTACACTTTCAGCCCTCTTACGAGTTTTTATTGACAGATATTCCGTATCACGAACAGTCTGCCATGACAGAATAATTCCTAGCTCATTTAAATCAATTATTACCCTAATGTTATGGTTTGGGTTTGAAATGTCTCACTTAAACTCATATGTTGCAGGGTTGTCCCCTGATGCAGCAGTGTTCAAAGGTGGTAGAGACTTTGGGTGGAGACCACCCAAAGGGGCCATGGGGCAGATCTCTGAAGGGTGTATTTTGTCCCTGGCCCCTTCCTCTCTCTTTGTCTATGTTTCCTGGCTGCCCTGAGGTGAGCAGCTTTGTGTACTGTGTGTTGCCTGCCATGATGCTCTGTCTCTCTGCAGTCCTCAACATAAGGGAGATGCTAGCCATGGACTGAAACCCTGAAACCTTGAGCTAAGTTCAGTCTTTTTTCTTCTCAGGTTGGTTACCTCGGGTATTTTTGTCACAGTGATGGAAAGCTGACCAATACATTTAATGTATTTGAAGCTGAGTTAGACATCAAGAATGGTGGGGAGAGAGTATCAGAACTCGGCCATCCTGTGGTCTCTAGGGACTGAGGTTGCATTGGAGAGCACAGTTAGTAAAGGATAGGAAATGGTGCAAGGGAAAACTATGTTAGTATTAAGTGGCATAGGCTGGTGAAGGCAAACCTTTTAGAACTTTCAATGATACAAAAGTCTGCTATGGCCACCACTGGTATAGGCTGTAAATGCATTGAGAGTTTAAAGGAAAGGGACTTGGGGGGGGGGGCGCACACTTTGACGCTCTCCACTAAAACTCAGGTTGTAATTGACTCCTATTGTGAGTACTAAGACATAGGACCAGGTGAGACTTTTAAGAGGTGATAGGTCGCAAGGGCTCTGCCCTTGGAATACCCCTTTTGCTCTATGATGCCCTGCACTACTGCAGGACTTTTCAGGTCCCCACAAGCACGAAGGTCTTTGCCAGATGTGGCCCCTCGCCCTTGGACCTCCCACCCTCCAGAACCATGAAAATAAAGCTTTATTCTTTATACATCACCCAGCCTCTCATATTCTATTACAACATCAAAAGAGACTCAGACAGGGAGATGATGTGATTTTTATTGCCAAAGATTAGCTACCCAATTTCTTTCTATCACTTTACCCCTTTTGAAAAGACGGAAGAGAAGTATAAAGGGGGTTGAGTTGGGCTGGGGGATTCTCCAAGAGGCCCTCTCTGCTGCAGTCCAGGGTACAGAGCTGTCTACTTGCTGGTATGAAGATGCAAAAGGACTGAGGAGAGGGCCCAGGTGCCAATGGGAAGAGGAAGCTTTACTTCCTGCTTTACATCCGGACTGGCTGGTGCCTCTCCCGCCCACCTGCCCTCTCCCTGTGCCTGGATTCCTCTCCTACACACCAGAAAGTCCCCACCCAGAACCTTCCCCACACACCTGTGTTCACTTATGGACCAAGCTGTGAGTAGGCCAGCGTTGCTCTGCTGACCAGGGCTGCCTGCAGTTGAAGTCAGAGAGAAACAAAACACCAGGCTGCAGCCTCCCATGCCTCTACTACTTCCTCATTTTTTCACGATAGGAAATCCCGGGATTGGCATAAGAACATCCTGCAGAAAGAAACCTGCTGTTCAGAAAGTGACTCATGCACGATGCCAGGGATCTTGCCTGGGGCTGGTAAAGACCATGAGCAGAGCAAGCAGTGACAGAGTCCCTTGAGTGGCTCCGGGGGGCTGCTGGGTTTGCCAAGGGACACACGTTCTCTCCCTGTGGGCAGCTCCCCCTAGACATAGTTCTGCCGGGCACCTTAGGTTTCCCAGGGTTTCTCCTCTGTGATTTCAGATGTGAATAAGATGTTTAAAAATGCATTGTACACTTTAAGTTATACCACATGAGGTTTGGATATATGTAGTGAGTTACTATAGTCAACTGATTTTCTTTGTAAGAGCCAAAACTCCACTCTTAGCAATTTCCAGTATGCAGTATTATAGTTCTAGTCCTCGTGTTGTACTTAAATCTCTAGAAGCATTCATCCCAGATGTGCTCATCTCCCTCTTCTTCCTGCCCTCCATCATAAGATACTTTTTCAGAAAGTCACCATTTCCCTTTCTTTCTTTTTTTTGGAGACAGGGTGTCTCTATGTTGCCCAGGCTGGTCCCAAACTCCTGGACTCACCAGATCCTCTTACCTCAGCTTCCCAAAAATGGAGTGGAGGCACATGCCTCACATAGCTTATCACTTTCCTTGTAATAGGTGATTGAAAAAGAAAGACTGTATTCTGATGTGGTTTAATTTTTAATATTAGGATGAAAACAGGTTTTCTCCATATGACTCACCTGCTCTTTTATCATGGACATTGTAACATGTTAATATATATACAACATATATATATATCTCATAAAGAATATTATTCACACAGACATACTTGCTAACTTGGCAGGAATTTGCCTCTTCTCACAAATGAGTCATTCTCTCCTGGTCACTGGCTACCATACTCTCTAGAGTTGCGAGGCTCAAGCAAATATGCTTATATTTATTTATTCCTGAATTATTAACTGGGGCTTGTGAGATGTGTGTAGCACCACTCCAGGACCTGCCTCCAAAAGAGATTTCAACCTGGTTGTGGGAGACCAGATGGACCCTTCTCCGGTCAGAACACAAACACCACACATCTCCGTGGCCGTGGTCCAGCAGTGGGTGGCTGGGTGGGCAGGGCAGTTTGAAGATCTAGGAGAGCAAAGCAAGGAATGAGCTTCCGGCAAGGGAGGGATGGGCGCTTCTTGAAGGCCCACGTGCCGTGCAGTTTGAAGGTTGGGTAAACTGAGGCAGGACTGGCTCCTGCAAAGAGGTCATGGTGGGGGGATGAACGAGAGCTCAGCAGACAGGTTCCGTCAGGGAGTGACAGAGTCCAGCTGTCCCTGTGTCTCTGTGTTTTGGGGAGCTGTGGAGAATGAGAATTGAATGATGGAAA